TGAAAAACACGTCGGTGGGCTCGATTGGAGAGCGTGGTCGCCGTCTGGTTCCTCCGGAGGGACGGGACGCTGCTCCGACCTGGGCAGCTTCGCTCCGGAAGCTTCCGCGAGGCTTGGCTCCAGGGGGGGTTACCGAGGAATAGCCCCGCTCGGTGAATCCCTCAACTCTGGTGATGGGAGCGGACTGGGGACCGACTCCTCTAATCTACCAGGAAAGAACCGTCTGCGGCCTCGCCCGTGGAACGTCCTGTTGGAACGCGAGGCCGTATGGATCAAGACGGTGAGCCAGAGTGGAGCCCAGTGAAAAATAACCTTTCCGCCGATCATCCGAACTGGCGGGAAAAGGCGAGGGACGTAGAAAAAAGGGGGTCCCTTCATGTCAGCCTCCTCCTGGGTTCCGCCGGGCAACCCCTGAGGGCGCCGTCGGCCGGGAGCGGTGTGATCGCCGATGCGAAACGAGGTGGGATGGGGTGAGCATTCACTCAGCCCCCCTCCACCTACACTACGCTCCCCAGGAGGGAAAGAGCAGCGGGGCTGCAGCTGAGCACGCCTTGCCCCGGAGGAACCATCCGGTTCGCCCCGAGGGTCGGCGATAAGAGGAAAAACACAAGATGGCGTTGTCCAGCGTGTAGTGACCTGTCACTGGGAAATGTTCCACGACGCTTACCTTGGAATAAGACTGCTGTCATCTTCTCCTCGGGGAGGAGAACTCACCGGACGACCGGAGGTCGACTGCCGGGCCAAGCATCTTTCGCAAAGGTTGGTCATTTACACAATTTATCTTCTTTGTTCTTCTGACAGTGCTATATTAGCTCGCTGAAGAAAAAATGGGAGCCGATTTCCCGCTCTTAACGTAATTTATACGGACCGGGTGGGGCCCACACAGCAGGTGGGCGTGGACTAATTTTTTTCAGTGCTTATGCTCTGCATAACGGGATAAACCCATCAGCGACAGCCTTAAAGGGCGAAGCCTATATGAAATAGAACTGTGACCTCCATACACCTGAAGTCATCCCTGATGTTCTCGTCACTGTTTTCAATCCTTCTGAGGATCCGGCGTCTCTTCTCCGGTGGTTTATTGTCGTCCAGACACAAAGTAGGATGCAGGTTTTCCTCCGTCGGCCGTTTGTCAACAAAGTGAAATGAACACATGCAGAGTTTTGGGTGTTCTCTTCGAGTTCAGATGTTTCAGCCACGTTCTTCTTAATTCCTCATCTGTAGGTAGGAGATGAAACTATACCTGTTTTCACAGGAACTCTTTTAGTTTTGGTCCGTGTTCAAACTCTGTTGTTGGAGCCACTGATTTAGTTTGGTCTGGTTGTTCTACAAACATCATATCCATGTCCACCCAGTCTTTTGATCTCTTATCTGTAAGATTTTTTACAACATTCATTATTTCTTCTTTGTCAGTTCCATTAAGAAAAACACTGTTGTCACAACTTATAACTGAATGGTTCACATTATTGTCCACTTTTGGTTTTTTAGCTGCAAGGCTTGATCCAACGTTCACAAAATGATGATTGAATCCATTTACAATTTCATTTTCATCATGGATTTCCATCGTCATCCTTCAGAAAATATTGTGAAATATCTGTTTTTGCTTCATGACTCTTCAGAACACTATTTATTACTCGCCATGTAGCTTTCATATCACCATTACTTTTATTTAATAAATCACTATAATATTCCTTCTTGTGTTTCCTTATAATCCCTATTAATTTATTTTTATACTTCTTATATTTCTCTTAAGCCTCTTGATCAAGTGAAATAACGGAGCTCATTTCTGTTGCAGGACAAAGAAGTGAAGAAGAACCGTCAGGACGTAGATAAGGACATGGAGTCGATCAACCAGGAGAAACTGGAGAAACTGAACCAGCTGGAGGTGCTGGTTCCTCTCCACCTCAACCAGGTAAAACTGAATCACTGCCTGCAGGAACCATCACAAGATATTATTGGGGTGGGGTTCAATCCTCTTTCAGTTCCGGGTTTTTGGATCTTTACCAAGTTCTGAATTTATTCAAATTTAAAGTCAGCTGTTCCACCCATCAGTCTGAGGTCAAAGGTCATCTCCAACTATCTGGAGTCCATCATTCTACTGAGAGAAAAATTACCTACAGGTGTCAAACATCTCAGACAGCTCATTCACCCTGAAGGTCAGACTGTGCAATCTCAGACTCTACAGGCCTCAGTCAGCAGGTCAAAGGTCAAAAGTCCTAACCTCTTCCCTCTAAAAACAAGATGGCAGCATGGCTTATGTTCATCTGAAGTAACCACAAGACTTGTGGACCAGAACCAGAGCAGAGGTCAGATGTTTACCCAGAATGCACTGCAGCAGACAGTTCCTCCCAGCTGTCAGCATGGTGGAGGAGGGCTGATGATTTGGGCTCCTGTCAGTCTCTGAATGGACCAGGAACTCCTCCAGAACCATGAGAGACAAACAGAACCCACAGAGAGTTCATGAAATGTAAAATGGTTTAAATGTCTTCTAGGTTCTAGAACAGCGCAGCTCCAGGTGGCTGCATGTTGGAGCAGCTCTGCTACTTTCATTCTGAGATTTTGCTTTTGGAAACTTTAATTCCTCTTTTTCTGGATGTAAGTCACATTTTTTGGATGATTGTTTCCTCTGGTATCAGATGCTGTGCAGCTGGAAGGATTTTTACTGAAACTTTTTTAGTTTTGGACATTTGTTATGATGTGTAACCATGGCAACAAGGCAGTTTCTACAACCAGCAGCTGATTAAAATCTCAAAGCTCAAATAATATCTCAACTACAGCCCCAAATCTCAAATGAGTTAAAAAGGATGTTCTGTGGACGCATTCTCATCTACCTGCCAGCTGTGCTTGAGTGCCTGACCACTGAGATCCTGGAACTAGCAGGAAACATGGCTCATGACAGTGGAAGGACAGGATCGTCCCTCAGCACCTACAGCTGACTGTCCACAGTGACGAGGAGCTCGGCAGACTGCTGGGAGGAGTGGCCATCGCTCTGGGAGGAGGTCTGCTCTGCATTCAGGTGGTCCTACAGCCCGGGGGAACCAAGAGGCCAGCCAAATCTGGGTGGACAGATCGGACAGCATCTGCAGCCAGTTTCTTAGGATCCACTGTGGGATGGACCTTTACAAGAGATCCTTCCTGTCTACAGCATCAGCATCTATAACATCTCTTAATGAAATGAGGATAACGAGTTACAACAACAAATAATTTCCCTCTGGGATTATCCATCCATCCATTATCTTTACCCGCTTATTCCATTTTGGGTCACGGGGGTCGCTGGTGCCCATGTCCAGCAATCAATGTGCGAGGGGCGGGCTACACCCTGGACGGGTCGCAAGTCCATCACAGGGACACATAGAGACGAACGAGACAAACAACCATTCACTCACACCTAGGGACAATTTAGAGTTACCAATCAGCCTAACATGCATGTTTTTGGTCTGTGGGAGGAAACCGGAGCACCCGGAGAAAACCCACGCATGCACGGAGAGAACATGCAAACTCCACCCAGAAAGGCCCCTGGACCGGGGTTTGAACCAGGGACCTGCTCGCTGAGAGGCAGCAGCTCTACCAGTTGCACCACCGTGCTGCCGATTGTGATTAATAAAGTATTTTTGAATTGAATTTAATTTAATGTTCTGACATAACGTCTCCATCTGTCTCCATGAACCAGATTATGCTGAATCCTGACGGCTCGTTGCCGTCGGACCTGAGCCAGATGGTGGTGGTGGACAGCGAGGAGCTGCGCCGGCTGCAGGAACACTGCCACACCATGGAGACTAAGAACATCCAGCGGCGGGAGGAGCTCCAACGCTGCCTGCTGAAGCAGAAGAGACTCCTCCGGGAGGAGAAGGAGCTGATGGCCACCGTCCAGAGTAACACACCCAACATCCATCCATTATACATACATCATACATCCACCCATTCATCCATCCATCCATCCATCATCATCTTCATGTTTGGGTCACAGGGGTCTCTGATGCCTATGTCCAGCAGTTTCTATGTGAGAGGCGGGGTACACCCTGGTCAGGTCTCCAGTCCATCACAGGGACACATGGAGACAAATGAGACTCTTCACTCTCTCTCTCACCTAGAGACATTTTAGAGTCACCAGTCAGTCTAACATGCATGTTTTTGGTCTGTGGGAGGAAACTGGAGTACCTGGAAAAAACCCACGCAGCACAGAGAAAACATGCAAACTCCACTCAGAAAAGCCCCCGGCAGGGATTTGAACCGACAACCTGCTTGCTGAGAGGTGGCAGCTCTACCAACTGATCCACCGTGCTGCACTACACAAACCATTAATATCCATTAATAAAGTTAAATATAAATTTAATAAAAGTAGAAAAGTGACACCATCTAAAGTCACAGACGCTGCGTCAGTGAACGGCCGCCAGCGCTTCATTTAGCTGAAATCCTCGTCAGTGTTCTGTGTCTGTTCCTGCAGAGCTGCAGCTGGAGTGCAACGAGAAGATGATGAACACGTTCGGGAGGCTGGTGGACCTGGACGCTCTGCAGGTGCCGCCGGACAACCGGAGTGTGGAGGAGTTCAAACAGGAGAAACTGCTCCTCGAAAAAGCTCAAGGCAAGGAGCTCCGGATGTGGGAGGTACGTTTGTCCGCTCACAAACCGTGAATCTGTTCGTTACTTCAGCTGTTTTAGCTGTTCATGCACCTGAACCTTCAGCTCATTCAGAAGACGGATCTGTGGCCTATGGTTCACAAAACTTTTGTAGTTTGTAAAACATTTAACTTTATTTAAAAAATATTAAGAAAATATTTTAACATTTCTTTTAAAAAACTGCTGAGAGCTAACAATTTAGCTCCTGTCAGGCTAATTTGAGCTGTAATCATGTTGCTGTATTTAGTTTGTCCCTTCTCTGCTCATTGTAGCTGCTGCCTGGTTCACTTCACTCATTGTTTTTATGTTTTACTCACAGTTTGACTAATTTGAGCTCCAAACATCCGTCCATCCATCTAACATCCATCCATCTAACATCCATCTAACATCTGTCCATCTAACATCCATCTAACATCTGTCCATCTAACATCCATCTA